CTTGGGGTTGGAAATCTATTAGAAGCTCATTACCGATTAGGACATCCATCTCTCTCACTAATGAAGCAATTATATCCTCAGTTTAATAAAGTGTCTTCTATACAATGTGAGTCGTGTGAGTTTGCTAAACATCATCGCACTAGTTTAAGTCCCCGACTTAATAAACGAGCAAATGCTCCGTTTGATCTTGTCCATACTGATGTTTGGGGGGCATGTCCAGTTGTGTCCAAACCTGGTTTCAAATATTTTGTCACTTTTGTTGACGATTATTCTCGTATGACATGGGTGTATTTTATGAAGCGCCGATCCGAGTTATTTACTCATTTCTCTGCATTTTGTGCTGAAATTAAAACTCAATTTAATGTTCCTGTTCGTGTGTTAAGGGGAGACAATGCTCAAGAATATTTATCTGCTCCATTTAAATCTTTTATGCTTCAACATGGCATTATTCATCAAACTTCATGCGTAGACACACCTCCTCAAAATGGAGTTGCTGAAAGAAAGAATCGACATCTGTTAGAAACTGCAAGGGCTCTTCTATTCCAAATGAATGTGCCTAAACAGTTTTGGGCTGACGCTGTGTCTACTTCATGTTTTTTGATCAATCGTATGCCATCTTCTGTTTTGGATGGTAAAACTCCTTATCAATGTCTTTTTCCAAATAAAGAACTTTTTCCTATTCCACCTAAAATATTTGGTTGCACTTGTTTTGTTAGAGATGTTAACCCTCATCGGACGAAATTGGACCCCAAGTCATTGAAATGTATTTTCTTGGGTTATTCTCGAGTTCAAAAGGGGTATAGATGTTTTTGTCCAAGTACAGGTCGATATCTTATTTCTATTGATGTCTCATTTCATGAAAATACACCATTTTCATCATCCAAGACAGATATTCATGAGGACAACGATGAAATACTCATTTACACAGTTACTATACCTGAGACCACACCTTCAGTAACTATGTCGAATGTCACTGTTCCTGACCCTAGACCTCCTGTACACTTGGTTTACACCCGTCGACACAAAGCACAAGATCACTCCCCACCTGTGACACCTGTGATTACATATCCTGATACTGGTCCGACTTCGATCTCATGTCCTGAACCAGTACCTGCATCTTCAGATCTTGTCTCTACATCTGATCTTGACCTCCCGATAGCACTACGTAAAGGTACACGGTCTTGTACTCATCCTATTTCCTCATTTGTGTCATACAGTCAGTTATCTCCTGCCTCATGTTCTTTTGTTGCTTCCATTGATTCTATTTCTGTTCCCAAATCTGTTAAAGAAGCTTTGTCTCATCCTGAATGGCGTCATGCCATGGTAGAGGAAATGAATGCTTTGGATCTTAATGGTACATGGGATTTGGTATACTTGCCTTCAGGGAAGAAGTCTATTGGATGTAAGTGGGTCTTTGCTGTTAAGGTTAATCCAGATGGATCTGTTGCTCGATTGAAAGCTCGATTGGTTGCAAAGGGTTATGCTCAAACCTATGGTGTTGATTATTCTGACACTTTTTCTCCTGTTGCTAAATTAACATCTGTCAGGTTACTTATCTCACTCGCTGCAACTCATGATTGGCACTTACACCAGTTGGACATTAAAAATGCATTCTTACATGGTGACCTTCAGGAGGAAGTTTATATGGAGCAACCTCCGGGATTTGTTGCTCAGGGGGAGTATGGGAAAGTTTGTCGACTTCGCAAATCTCTTTATGGTCTGAAACAGAGTCCTCGTGCATGGTTTGGGAAATTCAGTCAATCCATTGAACGGTTTGGAATGATAAAAGGTCAATCAGATCACTCTGTCTTTTACAGAAAAACGAAAGCAGGTATCACATTGCTTGTGGTGTATGTCGATGATATTGTGATTACAGGAAGTGATACCGCAGGTATTTTGGCCCTTAAGAATTTTCTTCATAGCCAATTCCAAACAAAAGACCTAGGCTCATTGAAATACTTTCTGGGTATTGAGGTAACACGGAGTAAGAAAGGCATATTTCTATCTCAGCGTAAATATGTACTTGATTTACTAACTGAAACAGGGAAATTGGGAGCAAAGCCAAACACAACTCCCATGGTTCCCAATGTGCAACTCACTTCAGAAGGCATACCATTCGAAGACCCAGAAAGGTACAGAAGATTGGTTGGAAAGCTTAACTATCTCGCAGTCACTCGTCCAGACATTGCTTACTCTGTGAGCGTAGTGAGTCAATATATGTCATCTCCGACAGTTGATCATTGGAATGCAGTAGAGCATATATTATGTTACTTGAAGGGGACACCAGGACGAGGTATTGTTTACCAAAATCATGATCACATGAGAATAGAATGCTTTGCAGATGCTGATTGGGCTGGATCTAAAGATGATAGGAGATCCACATCTGGCTATTGCGTCTTTGTTGGTGGTAATCTCGTCTCTTGGAAAAGTAAGAAGCAAAATGTGGTTTCTCGTTCGAGTGCTGAATCAGAATATCGGGCTATGGCACAATCGGCATGTGAGATAATCTGGATAAACCATTTGCTGAGTGAAATCGGATTGAAGACACCAATGCCTGCTAAACTCTGGTGTGATAACCAAGCTGCTATACACATTGCCAACAACCCAGTGTTTCATGAGAGAACAAAACATATTGAGGTCGATTGTCACTTTGTTCGAGAAAAGATACAACAAGGATTGATCTCTACAGGATATGTGAAGACTGGAGAGCAACTTGGAGATTTGTTCACTAAAGCATTAAATGGAATTCGTGTTGGTTATTTATGTAACAAGTTGGGCATGATAAATATCTATGCTCCAACTTGAGGGGGAGTGTGAAAGACATTAGAATATACTTTAGAATATACTTTAGAATATTCTTCTATCCTTAGAATATACTTTAGAATATTTTAGGAATATACTCTAGGATATTATTATTGTATAGAATCTTATAGGAATATTCTATCTTTGTAATCTATATTTATAGGGACTTAACCCTCCAATGAAATACACAGAAAATCCTTTCCTCTCCAATATTATTTCTTAGTTAATATGCTCTATTTTAACATTGGAAAGTGATGCTTTTTTGTAAAGATGCAATTTTTTGTGCCTTATGGTAGAGCTATTCGCTTTTTTATTAAGCTGTTGAAGATATTGCTTCACATAAGGTCAATATGAATTAACAGACCAACATATAAGACTCCTATTACATTGATAATCTAGTATAGAACACCAGGTCTTAGTTATTTATGAGTGCAAATTGGATCTGTAGTCGTGATGTGAGCCCCTATGAATAAAATGTAAATATAAGTTCCTTGATTTCCGATTATGACAAATCCGATGAAGAAACAATCGATGAAGACGACAATGCATTGTCCAATGGAAAAAATTAAGAATTGCATAATAAGACAAAACACTGCATTTTTTCGCTTTTCAAGTTTAATGACTTTTGGCGTTTTGACTCGAACGCTAAAAACCAAACATAGCCAAAGTGTGTGTCGTGGGTGTTGAAGATATTGTCCCACATCGGCTAAATATAGTAGATTACAGATCAACATATCAGACTCCAATTATATTGACCTTATAGGATGAAACCTCAAATCTTAATAACAGCACTCCTCAAATTTCTTGAATTCCATTTTGGTGCAGGATGCTCAGTTCACAATTGGTAAATCAAGTAAGATATCTGCAGCTCTGTGGTACCCTGTTGACGGGAAGCCGTGGCATGGATCTGCACATTACTCAATCAGCTGCGATTGGGTATCAATGAACATTATGGCAGGCAGACATTCTGATTCTGCTGAGGCGGTAGTTAGCAGTGGACAGGACGTGGCAACAGCCCTTTCTCTTCTGTTCTTTGTTGTGGCTTTCTACACTTCACTGAGTTTTGTCATCCAAGGAAATCCATTTTAGCCTTAGACACTCTTTCAGAGGGAAATTTAAAGTTGCTTGCCTTAAATCACAATTTTTGTTAGTGGTTGTTCTTGAGTGCTATTGTTTTGGTAACGAATGTGTTAGGGTCAGAAGGATTGTAATTAAGTCGAATAATTTTAATTAGATTCATAATTCAAATTTGAAAATGTGGATTTAATTACAAATACAAATACTACTATGTACTATATTTGATTCTAACAATATTTGAATTATATAAGAATATATATATATATACACACAAATATTCCGGTCAGGAATTTCTTGACCGGAGCCCCGTCCGGCCTCCTCCATTTGGGAGCCTTCCTGGTGGTATTTTTTGCTCAAATTTTTTGTGTATGTTCCTCACCAAGTCTAGTTCATCCATACCAAATTTCAGCAAAAAATTCAATCGGGAAGGCAGTCAAATGATTTTTGGAAGATAACTGGTCCGGAATATGTATTTTCGGGAAGGTAGTAATATATATATTACTAATATTAATAACAAAACACAAAAGGGTTATATGCTGGGAAAGATATTAATAAAATTAAACTTATGAATTAAAATAACTTCGCTGTTATTAAATATTAATAGGATTCTGTAAAAATATTACTTTGTACTAAATTAATCTAATGAATAAAATGTGACTAAAGTTACTATAAATGTAATATCATGGTTACTATAGTGTACAAATAAAAAATAATTATAATAATTAAAAGTTATTTATATATTCAGTAATATAAGTGGTCATATTTTTGAGTTTTTACTGTCATCTTTATTTTTGTAATATATATGTTATTATTTCTGAAAAAAGTAAGAAAATATTTTCAAACATTAATGTTTTCAAGTGATAACTTCTACTTAAAAAGTGTTTCTCGGCTTTTGTGTGAAAAGTACATTTTACTTTTTATATTACACGAAAAACACTTATTTTATCAAACACTATCAATTTTTACTTTTCGAAATCACTTTTTTCTCAAACATTACAAACTTTGACTACTAATCAATTTTCCCAAAATAATTTCAAAAAGTACTTTTTAATCAAAAGTTCCTTGGGCCATCATGGATTCATATTTTGGGGAAGAGTCAACATTGGCCGTCTTTTTGAACATTTATGCAAAGAAAGTCATAACATATTCCGGTATGCCGTACGCCAAAATTCTAATTTCCCACCCAGTCAATGTTCTTCTTTTTCGCCAAACACCGTAGCCCTTCCTCAGCAATGCATCCATCACTCGTAGTTCTATCGTTCTTGATCTTAGCTCGCGTCGGTTTAGTGACCTCTCACCAAGAGCATGGCGAGTGGAGCTGCGAATCGAACCCGGAGATCCGAGTCCAGGCCGAGTTCAGACCCGGGGTCGTCACCCTCGACGGCCATGTCGATGACTGGAAGGATGTATATGGGTCTGAATTTTCCCTTTTTCCTGCGTTGGATCCCGATGCTGATAAGGAGTACAATGGAGGCAAGATGACCATCAAGGTACATTCACTACCCCTTTCTAGGAATTCTAGGCATAAGTTGAAGTATTTGAAAGTTGCTTTTTTTTTACTTTATGTTTATATTTTCAAGATCTTGATTCTTCTCTTGTTTTTTCTTTAATTACATGGAAGGCGTGTGGATTTTTTGCAGGCATTGCACGACGGGAAAGATGTATTCTATATGTTGCAGGTTGACGGGAATTACGCATATACTGCCGGGTATGAATCATATAAGCAGCAAATCAGAACAAAGTTATCAGTGTACTAGAGTTTTTAGGTATGCCTAATGACTTGAAGATGGACTGAAACAGGGCTGTGTTTTTTTCCGCAGAGACAATAAGAAATGCCCTTCTGTAGCTCTCATGTTCCCAATTGGGGGAAATGCAACTTATCACAGAGTGGGTAGCCTTTGCTGACTTTGTTTGATTTGATTAGTATATAATCAGTTAAAGAATATTGTAATTGAAATCTGTGAGCTTAACACTTTAAGATGGGTGGGTGTAAAGAAGAACCCGATAGTTGTTCAAGCAAGACATGCCATGGCCATGAAGTTGACATAATGCACTTCTCAATAGGGAATGCGATTCCTGGGCGGCTCTATGGAGGCAATCCAGTAGATAACAGTGAGGGGAATGGGGGAGACAGGTGATGGCAATAATTTATGTCTGTTCGGTAGCTCGTTTTTAACCAGTGTAATATTATCAGGATGGCTAAAACATAAAAGGATGCTAAGCTTATGTTTACCACTACTGTACAGGTATGGTCACTTGGTTGATCTTTATGCCTGGAATCCTCATTGCAGATACTTAGATGGTGTTGGTCCTTCAGGTGAGGTTCAATATCACCATTGAAGAGCTTTATATCTCTGCAATAACTAAGAAACTGTCATGCGTTTGTGTGTGTTTATGTATAGCATTTTTGGTCCATGTGGCATGCCCAGTCACTCATTTTCATCCTAGGCAGTTCTTTTTTGTATTAAAAATATGTGATATTTTGTCGTGTTTTGAAATTCTGTTGTAGAATTCGATAGATCAAATTATCAAATGTCACAAAATGCAATTAATGCAATATAATTGAAGACTATTTTTTGAAGCAAAAGGACAATGTGGGACCAAAGTGACTAGCCAAGCGCAATTTAGGGGCAAAAATGCAGTGATTTCAGTTATGTATGTTCGTAATTGTTTCTTGGACCTGCATTTAGTCGCAAGTATTAACATTTTGGTGCTCTAGAATCTGCATTCTTTTTATGTAAAGATGCTTCTCATTCTGGTTGCTGCTTCTTGCTTTTTTGGCTTTGTACCAGCAAACGATTCTAGTGCGCAGAATGATTGGAAAGGTGCATGGTGGCATAGCAGCCTGACAAGTCACTCAGGTACTAAGTTTTTCTTCCCTTTCTGCTGCTTTTATTTCTTAATGTCTTTTAATATAAGTAATAGATCAGCAAGCTACTATTCTAGCAGTTTTATATACTACTATTAGCTATGGAAGAAATATCAGGGCGATTCATTATTATGAGAATGCATGATACACAGCTTTCCATGATATGTTTTTATTTTTCTTTGTTAATGGGATCAACTTTTTAAATTGAATTCACAAGTCACAACTATTTGTTTTTAAGAAAAATGAAAAGAACTTTTATTGACTAGTTCTTTAAGCAGGTTTTATAAAGGAAGACAGCCCTTATGCGTTAAATGCTCATCCAGGAACATATTACTTTGAATTCTCTAGGCCTTTAACAACAATGGACCGTCTGCAACAGGTAATGTCAGTTTCATGGTGATATGTACACTTCTGTTAGAAAGTGTTGATTTCTTTGTAAAATGAATTATGCAAGAAAATGCAAGTTTTTGTGCCTTGTGGTAGTAGAGCTGTACAGTTTCATATAAAGCTGTTTGTAGGTTTTAGGAATTAATCTTCCTTGAATATATTGAGCCATACGGCCTGAATATATATACAGAGTACAGGAAACAAACTCCCTATGCAGATCCTAAAAAATAGGATCTATACAACAACAATACTTATCTACTAATAACTGCAGTCTAATCTACTTTGAAATCTTATCTACAGCTACACACGTACACTATCTAATAATAACAATTAAATGTAACATTTTCTACACTCCCCCTCAAGTTGGTGAATATATATCATACATTCCCAACTTGCTTATAAGTAGTTCAAACACTGGTCTGAACAATCCCTTTGTGAAGATATCAGCTGTTTGTTCTTTAGTAGGTATGAATGGGATGCACACAATTCCAGCTTCAATCTTTTCCTTGATAAAATGTCTGTCCACTTCAATATGTTTAGTACGATCATGTAGCACAGGATTATGAGCAATACTAATGGCTGCCTTGTTATCACAATACAACTTCATAGGTAGATCCATCTGCATATTTAATTCTGAAAGCACTCTCTTGATCCAAAGCAGTTCACAAATTCCATTAGCCATAGACCTGTATTCAGATTCTGCACTACTTCTAGCAACTACATTCTGTTTCTTACTTCTCCAAGTCACCAGATTTCCCCACACATAGGTGCAATATCCAGAAGTAGATCTTCTATCATTAATTGAGCCAGCATAGTCTGCATCTGTAAAGGCCTCAACAGTTCTACTGTTGCCCTTTTTAAAAAATAATCCTTTCCCTGGACAACTTTTCAGATACCTCAGAATCCTGTAGGTTGCATCAAGATGTTCTTGGACTGGATTGTGCATAAACTGGCTAACCAAACTAACTGCAAATGCAATGTCTGGCCTGGTATGGGCCAAGTATATCAATCTTCCCACCAATCTTTGATATTGTTGAGTATTGACTGGAACTCCCTCTTTGAAATCTCCCAACTTCTGATTAGGGTCAATAGGAGTGTCAGCTGGTTTGCATGCACTCATCCCTGTTTCTTGAAGAAGATCCAGAACATACTTCCTTTGGGATACAACAATTCCCTCTTTTGATCTGGCAATCTCCATGCCAAGAAAGTATTTCAACTCTCCAAGATCTTTGACCTCAAATTCAGAAGCAAGTTTCTCCTTCAGGCTTTGTGTTTCTCTATAAAAATCTCCTGTAATGATAATATCATCTACATAGACAATTAATATAGCAATCTCCCCCTTACTTGAGCATTTTATAAATAAAGTATGATCAGCTTGAGCTTGTTTATATCCTTGTTTTTTAACAAACTGTGTGAACCTATCAAACCAAGCCCTTGGGGACTGTTTGAGTCCATACAATGATTTCTCTAGCTTACATATTCTTGAACCAAACCTGCTTTCAAATCCAGGAGGAGGATTCATGTAAACTTCTTCTTCAAGTTTCCCATTTAAAAAAGCATTCTTCACATCCAACTGTTGAAGAAGCCAGTCTAAATTAGCAGCAAGAGATAGAAGAATTCTGATAGTATTCAACTTTGCAACCGGTGCAAAGGTCTCAGTATAGTCTATGCCAAAGGTTTGTGTATAACCTTTGGCAACTAATCTTGCCTTATACCTCTCAAGAGTGCCATCTGCCTTGAACTTAGGAGTGAAAATCCATCTACATCCAACTGTTGGCTTGTTTTTAGGTAGCTCTACAATCTTCCATGTCTGATTCTTTTCAAGAGCATCCATCTCTTCCAAAACAGCTTTCTTCCACTCGGGTTTAGATAGAGCTTCCTGTATGGTTGATGGGATAGAAATAGAAGAGACAATAGAAGAAAAGGTTGCAAATGTAGAGGATAATCTAGAATAGGAAACATGGTTTGAAATAGGATATTTGACACATGACCTTTTCTCCTTTCTGAGAGCAATTGGTAAATCAAGATTACTGAAATTATTACCTTTTCCATTTTCTGTCAATGAGTCAGATTCATGAGCAGTTGCAGGATCAGAGATGTCCTCTATTCTTTGATTTGGAACTCTCCTTTCATAAACCTTGCCAAAAAATTTACTTGTCTGCAGTTCATTTTCTTTCCTTGTTTCAGTTATATTTATTTCATTTTCTTCTATTTCTTGACCATTTTCTGATGCATCTAAGTCTTTAGTATGATGTGCATCTAGATTAATGTCAAGAAATTCAAGATTTTCATGGATATGCAATACACTGTTACCATCTTCACTTGAATTCTCCCCCTGAAGATGAGTACTAAAAAAGGGCTGATTCTCAACAAAACTAGTGTTCATAGTTACAAACATCTTTTTTGTTGTAGGATCAAAACATTTATATCCTTTCTGTGTTGGAGACAGTCCTAAAAAAACACATTTTTTACCCCTAGGATCAAGTTTACTTGCAGTTTTGTCAGGGTTGTGAATAAACACTGTGCAACCAAAAATTTTTAAAGGAAGAGAACTGATAATTCTGGTTCTAGGAAAACAGTTCTGAAGTGTATCAATAGGAGTTTTAAATCCTAGAGTTTTTGATGGCATCCTATTAATTAAATAAGTGGCATGTAAAACAGCATCTCCCCATAAATATTTTGGAACTTTTGTTGAAAACATGATTGCACGAGTGACTTCAAGTAAATGCCTATTTTTCCTCTCAGCTATTCCATTCTGAGCAGGTGTGTTTATGCAAGAACTTTGATGAATAATACCTTTTTCAGTAAAAAAATTGTTCAAATTCTGGGAAAAATACTCTCGGCCATTATCACTTCTTACCATTTTGATATTGGTATTGAATTGAGTTTGAACCATTGAGTAAAATTTCCTGAACACACTTTCAACTTCAGATTTCTCTTTAATCAGAAAAACCCATGTTACTCGTGTATGATCATCTATAATAGTTACAAACCATCTTTGTCCTTTCAAGGTAGAAACTCTAGATGCACCCCAAATATCACTATGCACAAGAGTAAAAGGACTAGTAGGTTTGTAACTGTGAGGGATATAAGAACTCTTATGATGTTTTGCAAGTGCACACATATCACAATGAAATGATGAAGGATTTTTATTATGAAACAACTGAGGAAACAACTTTTTTAAATAGTAGAAACTAGGGTGACCTAGTCTGTAGTGCATTAAATACACTTCATTATTACAAGAAAGAGAAACAGTTTGCAAACAAACATTTTCTTGACCTTGTTTATTCAATTTAGTTCCTTCATCAAAGATATAAAGTCCATCTTCCTCTCTAGCACTGCCAATCATCTTCCCCGATGCCAGATCCTGAAAAATGCAATAAGAGGGATAAAATTTGACACAACACTGAAGTTCTTTGGTTAATTTGCTAACAGAGGCAAGATTACAGGAAAGGTTTGGCACATGTAGGACTTTAGAGAGGTTAATAGATGAGGAAATCCTGACATTTCTCATCCCTGCAATGGCTGAAAAAGAGCCATCTGCAACTTTAACTTTTTTATCCCCTGCACAAGGGTTATATGAGGAGTAGAATTTTGAAATAGAGGTCATATGGTCTGTTGCACCTGAGTCAATGACCCAGGTATTTTTTGTTTTTTTAGAACAGAAATATGATGTTATTTTACCATTTTGGGCAAAAGAACATGAAGGGTTTTCCTGGTTAGGGCTCTTTTTGGTATTTAGAAGCTGTAGGAGTTGCTCTATCTGTTCCCTTGTGAAGAAGGGCTGCTTGGAAGTGTCTGGTTGTTCCTGTCCAGTTTCAGGCATGGTAGTGTGTAGGGCTTTGTCAAATTTTTTCTGTCCTGACCCTGGTGGTTTTCCATGAATCTTCCAACATGTCTCCCTGGTGTGCCACAGTTTTTTGCAATGATCACACCAGGGCTTCTTCTTCTCATTACCTTTGGCAATCATTGCTGAGGACTCCCCTGGCTCATCATTGTTATGTACTGGAGTATTGTACATAACCTTCTTCCTATTGTCCTCCATCCTTATCTCAGAAAATACTTCTCTGATTGAGGGTAGAGGTTTCTTTCCAAGGATTCTTCCCTTCACTTCATCCAGATCCCTATTAATTCCTGCTAGGAACATGTAGACCCTATCATTTTCCTCTCTTTTTTTGTGTCTTGCCAGATCTTTGGCACTTTCCCATTCTTCATCATCATAGCATTGATCCAACTCTTGCCATAGAGATACCATCTCATTGTAGTAAGAGATGACATCTCTATTCCCTTGTTTGGACTGCCAGAGAATGGTTTTTAACTCAAAAATTTGAGAAGAATTTTCAAGATCTGAGTAAGTCTCTTTTATGGAGTCCCAGACCTCCTTTGCTGTCTTCATAAACATATGAGGCTTTGCAATTGAGGCCTCCATGGAGCTAAGGAGCCAGGCTGTGATAAGTGAGTTTTCTGACTTCCATGTGGTGTAGCCTTCCTCTCCAGGAATTTTTGGTTTGATTTCTCCTGTGAGGTATCCCAGTTTTCCCCTCCCATCAATTGCGAGCTTGACAGATTGAGACCACTCCAAATAGTTTTTCCCATTCAATCTATGGCTGGTAATTAGCATAGATGAATGAATAGGAGATTGGTAATTTGTCATCGGGCTAATTTGGGAGTTAGGGTTGGTAATGTGGGATGAATCAGAATCTGTGGTTTCTACCATCGTGATGTGTAAACCGAAGCTCTGATACCATGTAGGTTTTAGGAATTAATCTTCCTTGAATATATTGAGCCATACGGCCTGAATATATATATAGAGTACAGGAAACAAACTCCCTATGCAGATCCTAAAAAATAGGATCTATACAACAGCAATACTTATCTACTAATAACTGCAGTCTAATCTACTTTGAAATCTTATCTACAGCTACACACGTACACTATCTAATAATAACAATTAAATGTAACATTTTCTACACTGTTGAAGATTTTGGCCCACATAAGTTCAATTTTAAATAAAAAAACCAACGTATAAGACTCCTATTAGGTTGATGTTTTAGTATACAACCCTATATCATAATACTGTACGAGTGCAAATTGGATCCGTAGTCATGATGTGGGTCTCTATGAAAAAATTAAGTGCTTTGATTTCTGATTATGGCAAATCCAATGGAGAAACATTTGATGAAGACGATAATGCATTGCCAATGGAAAACTTTAAAAATTGCATGACAAAGTTTGTGGTTGTGTGGGGTGTTGGAGATTTTTCCCACACCGTACCGGCTAAATATAGTAAATAACAAAAAACGCGAATGAGATTCTAATTATATTGGCCTTGTATTATAAAACCCCAAATCTTAATAAGAACCGTCCTCAAACTTCTTGAATTCCATTTCGCTGCAGGATGCTCAGTTCACAATTGGCAAATCAAGTAAGATATCTGCAGCTCTGTGGTACCCAGTTGACGGGAAACCATGGCATGGATCTGCGCATTACTCAATCAGCTGCGACTGGATATCAATGGACATTATGGTAGGCAGAAGTCCTGGTTCTGCTGGGGTGGTAGTTAGTAGTGCATGGGATGCGGCTACGGCTCTTTCTCTTCTGTTCTCTGTTGTGGCTTTCTGCACATCTATTTTCATAGCCCATCGAGTTTCGTCATCTAAAGAAATCCGTTTCACACCCATGGACACTCTTTAAGAGGGCCACTCGAGGCTGTTTACCTTAAATCCCAATTTTTCCAGTATTTTGTTCTTGAGTCCTATTGGTTTGATAAGAAATATGTTGTCGGAAGGGTGTGAAGAGAGAGCGCCAATAATCGAGCTGAAATGAGGAGTTTTATGATTCTTGTAGTTTGGGGTTTTAGATTTCTCAGACATTAATTTGTTACTCTGTTGATCGTATGATCAGCAGAGGATCCAAAGTTTTCATTCATACACTTGAGTGTACTATATACTAATATACACATCGTTCCACTCACTGCCATGCCGGATTAGCATGTATCCTTGTAGATGACTAGATCTCAAAATTCGATATTAATTTGCATGCAGTGTAATACTCCACATTTATTGTAATTTATTTTACTTTGTCAGGTTTCACACATCTGATTTGTGTACTGGCAATTCAGATCATACCCAAATTATTTACTACGAAGTATATGATTTCGATAGTATTTAGTTTAAAATGCACTCCATGAAATTTCTGGTTGAAAGAGGTCTTTGAGCAAAAAATAGAGAGAGTGGTGCATTCTGGTATTAATTTGCTGGGGTATCTGGCTGGGGAAGGAATGTTCGGGTTTGGCAGGCTCCCAGACACATCACACATGTAGGCTACATTTTAGCAAAGGCTTGTTCTTTTTGGGATGGATGGAGATCAGAGGAGTGCAGCGATCTGCCTTAGCTTGATGGCAGAGGCGGAGCCAAGGGGGAGTCAAGGGGGTCAGCCGACCCCGCTGAAAGTTTGAGTGTATAGAGCTCTGAAATACCTTCGATTTGATATATTATGGCCCCCGTAACTCATTACGAGTAAAAAGTTATGATTTCTGGAAAATCAGCACTATCTAAACATAAAATCAGCAAAATTTGATGCATAATATTGATTATTTTCCCAAATTTATGAATAACGTATAATTAATTCATTAGTTACGTAACATGATTCAGAAACAGGGCAAAGACAGTATATCTTATTGCTTACGAATGCTTATTTATCTAAACTACAAATGAAACATTCAATTCGAATATTGTCTAAAAACGATGTATCATTTTCATTTTGTGCATAGTTGATTTTCGACCCCCTGACCCGTTTTTCTGGCTCCGCCACTGCTTGATGGGCTGGTGCCTCTCACGAAGTGCACCTTTCGGTCCCGGGCCTTCCTTCCCAAAAAAAAGCCCGGCCGGGTCCGGCCTTGAACCGGAACCGGCCCGGCCCGGGTCCATGACTAGGATAATGTTGACGTGGAGTCAGATGCCCTTCAGGTTGAATCAGAAATTCAGAATGACACATGTTTTGTATTATTGGCGGGTGTGTCGGAAATATGGTAGCTAACTCTGTTAATACGTAGTATATCTTTTTCTCATAATAGGTTATTTGTAAATCACATTGCTGGGAATTCCATATTTGTTTTTTTTTCATGCAGCAGCAATTTCTATTCATTTAACCAGAAAAGAGGACTTTCTACTCATGTGTTTAGGACCTGCAAACTCCATATTCCAACTTGTTTGGAAAATTGCATATAAACTTGTACTCTTCGGAATGCCATGCACCATATGTACAGTGATATGTCAAACACCAGATAACAGTTTGTAACACTTAACAATTAACAAACCAAGTTTAAATACTTCACTGTGTCTTGTGCTTTTTTCAAGGACTTCGAACCCAGGTGTCAACAATATGCTAAAATACATTAGTAACTTAGTAAGCCATTATGGCCATTTAGATCACTGCATTTTGATGATTTTTTAGGTGATCTTTTTACTATTTCTTTTAATAGATATCTAATGAAAATTTGCTGATACTTTTCAAATAGTGGAACGACACTGGTGACAGTTAGCGCAGTAGTAAGTGTTAATCAATAAATTAAACTAAATAAAAAAAATGGCGAGTATATAATATTGTCTTATCAAACTTTGAACCGATTTAGAAACACTGAATTTGACTGAATCGACTTGATCTGCTAAAATTGATGAATTTCTAGCTGAAAAGACAAAATTATATAGAAATTATATTTAAATATATTTTGTTTGGTAAAAATATTGGCTTGATATCATGTTAAGCCCGATAAACTCAAAATAGGAGTTACCTAATACTCTTTTTACCCTTATTAAAGAAGTGTTAATTTTTACTCCTGTACAACTTTCCTAAAAGTGGGATGTACATTCACTTGTAAGTTTTAAGTGATAATAATAGTAAAGCTTATTATAGATTTATGGGAAAACTGTCAAATAGGTCCTCAAACTTTCATAAAAAGGTCAATTAAATCCTTCTATAGGAGGTTCTGTCTGGCCGTCGCGATTTGGGGCAGTTCCCGGTGAAATTTTTTGATGAAATTTTTTGAGCATCTTATTCACCAAGTCTAGTTTACTCATACCAAATTTAAGCTAAAAATTCAATCGGGAACACATTTAAATTAATTCTTGAAGATAACTGCGCATTTTTGCGTTCTCGAATTAATTTGAATGCGCTCCCGATTAAATTTTTAACTGAAATTTGGTATGAGTAAACTAGACTTGATGAATAAGATGCTCAAAAAAATTCATCAAAAAATTCCACCGGGAACCGCCCCAAATCGCGACGACCAGACAAAGTCTCCTATAGAAGGACTTAATTGACTTTTTTATGAATGTTCGAGTATCTATTTGACAGTTTTCCCTAGATTTATTATAGTGAGTGTATATTGCTTTATAAATCTGGGTAGGTATATCGGATTGGTTTAATCAAATCGTACCAAATTGAACTAAATCTAAATAACTTGAAGTGAATTGACCTATACATGCGATATAGTTTGAATTTGATAGCATTTTTCTTCCAAACTATATTAAACCGAAATGAACCGAAATCGAGAAATACTGAACCAAACTACAGAAATTCAATAAACTTTCATCCCTCCATGTTAAAAAATAATAAAAAAAATTGTATCGAACTGAATTGAATCTAATTGAAAGATAATAGGGAGTAGTTTTTGTTTGGTAAGAATTCTTCTTATACATTTTAAATCAAACCGAACTAAACCGGATAGAAGTGAATTGAGAACTAATATGACGATGCACCCAAACAAAATAGAAGTGGCGTACAAATTTCAGTTCAAGGGAGGAACATGCAGCTTGCTATGTCCATAGTCCGCCCAACTCCGTTAGCCTTCCCTCATCCTCCGGCGACTATTCTCCGGCATACAACTTTTCGAGTTTCATGTTCCTCCTCCACTCCGTCGCAACCTCTGCGAGTAACTTCCCCCCTTTTCCTATGTCGAATTATTTGTTTCCCAAACATTCGCTCAATAGCAAATTACTGAAGAGTTCCTTGAAATTGATTGATTTCCCGGCAGGCAGATGCAAGAGATTCTGCGCAGAGAACTTCATATAAGCCCGGTCCGCTAGATAATCTCTTCCTTCATTTGTTCCGTAGAAAAATGGCCCGGGTCAGCCATTCAGCCCCAACTCACTCACTCAATTTTAGTTTTTTATATTACGAAATTTCCGGCAGCTGTGTTGTTTATACCTAAAATACCTCCATATAATATCCACCAGTTTTAATAATATCTCCCTAGCATTTACTCTTGTTTGCGCTTGGCACAATCTTCTGTGGATAGGAGTCTGGATGGGATTCAGAAAAGCCTGGATATGATGGATTAATTGAAGTTGCAAATCGTCTTATGATTGGTCGAACCAATTCTGAAACAAGAGAAATTGCAGTATGGCGCTTTATATAAGCTATGATAAAGTTGAAGTTCCTTTTGTTTCACTGTAGTGTGTATATTTCCCAGATGCAGTTTTTCATGTTCTCATATAGTATTAGTTCCTATGAATAGGCATTGTTATAAGGTAGCATGTTAAGTCATCCTACAGAAAACATATACGGAATACATATTAAAAGCATAAAAGAGAGACATTGTGATTACATCATTATGTTATTCCTAGGATTTTATGTCAAGTCGCAGTTGTTTGAACTTTGGTCTGAGAATACAACTGCGGGCTTGTTAAGTAGATCATTGTGTGTATATGGCAGGTGCAGATATTAGCATCTCTGTTTCCTGCATGGTTGTTGGATCTCTACAGAAGGCTTATTGCACCGGTAGGAGGAGGTAAAATTGCTGCGGTGATGGTAGGTGAGTTGATGAGTTATCACTAACCGATCCGGTTTAATGTGTGAAACCCCTTATGCATATTTAACCCTCGTGTTTCACAAAAGGCATCAAAGTCCTACTTGCTTATGCACATAATACCCAGAAATGACAAATTTAGGTGCTTAGATAACGCGCTTGTGGTGTTATGAATCTTACAATTAATCACGAATTTCTCTAAACACCTAAATTTTAGTCATAGTTTTATATCAAAGGCGTGTCTTTTAATTGGGAATTAAATTTATTGCTCCAAGGTATTAGGTGCATGGTTAATCGTAGCACAGAGTGTTTCATTTATCTTTTGAATGACAAAGGGATAGTATGCAGAATGTGTATATCACAAGGGTTTGACCCTAATCAAACAATGAGTTCATTCTTTCTTCTAGAGGTGGAGAATGCAATTTGGGTGATTAATGGATTTGACTCAAAATTCTACTCCCTCTGTCCCTAAATAAAACCATCCGTTTCCTTTTGCGGGCCGTCCCTAAATAAAAGTCCCCTTTCCTTTTTTGGCAAACAAAACAGTGTCCTATCAGTGTCAAACAGTATTTCTCCTTAGGTTGTGTGTCATTCAAACGGATGCGTTTATATAGGGACGGAGGGGGTATAATTTAGGCTGGGTTCAAATAATATCACATATGTGTATACAACTGTAATGGCATTCCTTTTTTGTTTCCGAAAGCAAGGGTGACTGCATTATCTTGCCAATGGCTCATGGGTCCATGTAAAGTCAACTCAGTGGATCTTCCCGATGGATCATCATGGATGAGTGGAGTGGGGTTTCATCTCTTTTCTTTATCTCCCAAGATTCCTGTTTGATTATCCATTCTGATTCAATGGGTAAATTTTTGTTTGATGGGGAGTGCAGGTGCTGGTGGAAAAATGCAAGTATTTAGAAGAGAGCAAATGTGTGGGAATATGTGTTAATACTTGCAAGCTCCCCACGCAGGTCAGTGATCACTCCATCTCGGTTAGATGTATTGTTACAGTTTATAATATACTACGTAGTATAAAGGTGGTGGTAGGCCCCTTCACCCAGTACTTGCTTTCCTGCTTTGTTTTAGGCTTTCTTCAAGGATTGTATGGGTGTGCCTTTGGTTATGGAGCCAAAGTTCAGCGACTATAGCTGTCAGGTAATGATAAGTCAATAATGATGTTACTAAGATGAGTAAAACAAAAGTTAATAACTTTGATGGGGCAGTTCAAGTTTGGGATCTTGCCTCCTGAAGCAGAGGATGATGAAGCATTAAAACAAACTTGTCTGGAGATATGCCCAAACGCATCCCTGATACGAAAGGAGCCTGCCCGGCAGAAGGCTAACACAGATGCTGATGCATTCAAGTGCCCCAAGGCATAATAGGCCCACTAGGCTGTATGTTATATTTCTATTTTAGTCTCTGTCAAGTGTTTATGCAATACTAAATTTATGTAGGTTCAAATATTTGTACTTTCAATGTTCAAGATCAAACACGCTCCATCCCACAACATTTCTATGATATTAAGATATTGTGTTGTGATATTATGATATTATGTTGATAATATTACTAACAGAACATTTGGTTGAATTGGCTAAATTTGTTGGATGTGCTCAAATCGTAACTAGGATTTAAAATCTGTTTTATTTAAAATATATATATATATATATATAAATGAAACACAAAACTTATCCCCTTAAACATCTTTATTCTAATTATGACACTATTCCTTAGGGCTGGACTCGGGCCGGGCGGCCCGACCCGGGACCGAACTGGCCCGGTCACTGTTTGGCCCGGCCCGGCCCGTGGCCCGGTGGGTCCACCGGTTCGGTTTGGCCCGGCCCGGGTGCTGGGCGGTCCGGGCTCGGGCCCAGGTTTTGGTGAACCGGCCCGGCCGGTCCGGGCCGGATTTTAATTTAATTTTTTTTTTTTTTGAAATTTTTTTAAGTTTTAGGTTGGATTAGGTATTTTGGGCCATTTGAGGTGGTTTGGGATGGTTTGGGGTTGAGGGGGAGGGGTAGGGGATTAAATAGGAGAACAAAAAAAAAAAAAAAATTGGGCCGGTTCGGCCCGGCCCGGCCCGGTTTGGCCCGGAACCGGCCACCGGCGGTTCGGGCTCGGGCCTCCCCTTTCCTGGCCCGAGGCCCGGCCGGGCCCGGGCCCGAACCGGCCCGAGTCCAGCCCTACTATTCCTATGTGGGGAATAAAAAAATTATGTTTTTAACAAAATCTATTTGATAATCCAAAAAATGGGATACCAAAGAATTATTATTATGCTTATTATTATCATTATTAAAGTTTTTTTCAAAAATATTACTGAACAAAAGCTTATTCATAAAAATTTAACTAATACTCCGTAATTACTACAGAGTACAATCTAGTGTCATGGTCACTTAAGTTTAAAAATTTAACATAAGTTTCTATGATTAAGTTACTACTATATTCATTAATCACATTTTTGTAAACAATCTCCATTATTTTCTATTAATGGAAAAGGGGCACATGGAATGGTATGTATGTACTTATTTTCTATTATTATTGTTAGTCCATCCCATTTCTACAGCAAGCCATTAGCAAGGTTATGGGGGTGTTTGGAACTGATTCTGCTTCTGCTTCTTTTTTAAAGCAGAAGCAGAATCGGTTTTCAGAAGGTGGTCACTCACAACTTCTAAAAAAACTGATTCTAGGGCTAAATTAAAGCATCAGAATCACTTTTACACTTTCACACAAACACTCCAGAGAGCAGAAGCAGTTTTAAGAATCAGATCCAAACACCCCCTATGTCAATGCTTCAAGTAGACATAAATACTTATTGCCGATTTAATTCAGATTTTCTGCAGATGAGATCAATGGTGATATATCATGTGACTATATGAGTGATCACCCCTCCCTATCCGTACATATTTACAGTTAAAATAATGCACATACACTAAAGGCACAACAACGTAAAATAATAATAAACCAATACATAGCCAACTTGTGGCAACCAATATCATTACAAACAACGAGGCAACAAAATTGCCACCTACAAAGGGGACAGACTATTGAAAGTTCTCACACAATTGGAACTGGTCATCATCCAGTATTGTTAATATAAACCAGCCTGTCAAAAAAATCAATTGTCCCAACCAGAAGGCCGCCTCCTTTCTCTCTGTCTATCTCTTGAGCTGCATGCAAAACAGTAACAGCGGTGACGATGACAACACAACAATATAAAAAACGATGGTGATAAACAAGACCATAGTAGCAAGCAGTTTCCCAGACACCCCCTCACACCACCCTCAGTGACAACACAACAATATAAAAAACGATGGTGATAAACAAGACCATAGTAGCAAGCAGTTTCCCAGACACCCCCTCACACCACCCTCAGTAAACAAGACTCGATACAAGTTTAGTGCCTGTAAAATTGTAAATATGTTATTTTATAATTCAAGTCCATGTAAATTTAATTTTTTTCAACCCTTCTTTTAGTCCCTCACTGACAAGCAACCTACGTTTGATAACAACCGGAGACATGCCTAACAGGATTTATGGCTTTCATTTTCCATCATTTGCAATGGAGCCAAAGATTCATTATTTTTTGGTTTGAGAATATGATGGATTAAAGCAAAATGGCTCACTAAACTGTCTGCGCTTCTTTGTTATGAAGCAGCCGTCAGTCCATGCAATTTGGACGCAATTTTAACTATGGGTCATCCGGAAACAGTCTCTCTGTGCTTTAGTACATGGGTAAGACTGCGTACATCCGACCCCCCCTACCGGAAATTTTCAAGTCACTTTCATAATTAAAAATTCTCAAACTTTATTCCATCGGAAACATTGACACCTCTATTGACAACTTGAACATTTAATCATATAGCCTCAACACAATACGTGACTCCAAAAAATCATAAAAGTTTCAGTGCAGTTACGCAAGTGAAATCAGCTCACCTTCCTGAACTGGACAACTTGCTACTGGTATTTTCTCTTGAATTCAGAGTCCCTGCAGAATATGTTGCAACATTACTTGTCGAACTGGCCTGAGAAGAAGGGTTTGTTTCTCCTCCACCAATGGTTCCCCCAGACACAAATCCGGGCAAAGCCATTTTTTTGTTACTCGACAATGCCTGGCTTTGGGAATTTGGTGAGGAGGCAGCGACAAAATTGTTCTTAAACTGTGCCATCATTCCGGTCCTGAGGGAACTGACTGCCGCAGAACGGTTAGGAGCGGCAGAAGGGGTTGTCGGAGGAGCATTACTTCCTTCTGCACTGTATCCTATACCCAGGCCGAAATCCACACCGCGAACACCTCGACCGCTCCCCCCTCTTCCTTTTGCCTTCTTTCCACCTGTCAGCAAAATATAGTTAGAATACATGATGACTTCGGTGAGAATTTATATACACATGCTGAACTGTGTGCTCTCTCAATCATCATGAGCCAATTACTAAGCATATTATGAGTAATAACAGATGCATACCTCCTTTCCGTGAATCGCGTTTAGAACGGAACCTTCCATCCTGATTATTTTATATGCATGTGTCAATCATAAGAATAAGGAAAAATGTTTTTTTATAAAAGTAGAGCCCGTTTGGCAGCAAAAGTGCCATATTCTGCTCATAAAAGATTGAGCAGAATAAGAAGAGATTTCGAGATTTATTTGGCTGAAGAGGGATTTTACCAAGCGCTTTTCCTTTCGGAATATTCAGCTAAATAACCCTTACCAAACGGGATTTAAGAATAAGATTGCTTCATATATATGTGTGTGTGTGTGTGTGTATCATAACATGATTTAAGGATAATAGTGCTTCATGTATCATTATTTTATTATGAAAGCCTTAACAAAGATGTGAGTGTCTGTGTGTGGGGGTAACTATAAAGGTCAAGTGCAGTTTACCTTCATCGCAAGGTCCATGAGTTCTGCAGACACGTTCTGACCAGCAGTAACCAAACTGTTGACTAGTTCTCCTGCAAACCGTGCCTCTTTTTGGGTAATAAGAGTGTATGCTGTCCCATCTTTGTCACCAGCACGACCTGTTCTTCCAATTCTATGAACATGCATATCCATATCTTTAGCAACATCAAAGTTAACCACTGACTTGATTGACTTGATGTCAAGACCACGTGCGGCCACATCAGTAGCAATAAGGACATGAAATGTTCCGGACTTGAACTTTTGCAGTATTTCCATACGAGAAGACTGGTCTTTGTCACCATGAAGAGCTGCAACTTTAAAACCCCTTTCAGCAAGTTGTGATTCTATATCATCCACTGTGGCTTTTTTGGAAGCAAATACAAGAACGTCACCATCATCAATCAGTCCAGGAAGCTTTTCAATAAGCCAAGGTAACTTCTCTGCATCTGAAGGAATAACTTCAACAACCTGTGTGATATCCTCATTTGCCATACCAATCTCACCCACTGTGACTCGTACAGGATCAGAAAGAATCTCCCTTGCTAGCTTTTCAACTTTGCGTGGCATAGTTGCTGAAAAGAGTAAAGTTTGACGGTCTGGCCTGATTTGACCAACAATTGACCTTATCTGTGGCTCAAAGCCCAGGTCAAACATCCGGTCTGCCTCATCGAGAACTAGGTAAGTAGCCCTCAGCATCGAGACCGCCTTCATTTTAATCATGTCAATTAATCTTCCAGGAGTAGCAACAACAACCTCACATCCTGCCTTTAATTCCTTGAATTGTTCTAGCTTAGACATTCCACCATAAACAGCAGCAACTCGAATACCATGAGACTTCGAAAATTTCTTTGCCTCCACATATATTTGATGTGCTAGTTCCCTAGTGGGTGCACATATCACTCCAATAGGACCTTCTTCTTTGGCAACTTCAGGTTGATCCATGATGTGTACTACCAGCGGGAGCACAAATGCAGCTGTCTTGCCAGATCCTGTCTTAGCAATACCTATGATATCCCTCCCAGAAAGGGCAATAGGTAAAGCTTGGCACTGTATTGGGGTAGGTTTTACATATGCTTGTTTTGAAATTGCTCTCAAAAGCTCTGCCGAAAACCCACATTCTTCAAACGTCTTCACTGGTCTTGGGACATCAAAGCCGGAGACACGAATAGCCAAGCTATTCCTATATTCAACAACCTCCTGCTCACTCATGCCTAAACATAACGGTAACAAGTAATTACTAACTCCATTAAAAAAAACATACTGAAAGGATAATGAAAAGATATAATGAAGCCACTAAAATATCAGAGGATAGGATCGTTACATGGTCATTACATTTGATTGGTGCCATAAGGATGGGGTGGGGTGTTGATAAGAGGAATTAATTCAAATAAAGGAGGGTGGTATTGCAACAATGAATCTTGCACCCAATTCCAAAGAACTTCTAAATTTTTCTATAACCTTATCAGAAATATAAAGGTAATGCAAATAATTCATTTTTCCTTGCAAGCACTTTCTTTCTATGTTACTCAAGCTGATTGTTACATTGAATGTTGTAGAAGATTATGAAAATGGAGAACAGAGAGATAAAGAGATCACAATTTCGCCTGTTTGTAATGAGTATACAAAAGATAACTAACATTGGTACCTGAAATAGAAGGATTTTCCTCATAA